ACAGAATACCCAAAGAAGTTGAAGGTGTAAAAATAAAAATTTAAAATATCCAGACAGCCATTATTAGAATTTAGGGAAGCTAACAGAAGTAAGGATCACTTTTACATCTAGTGTGATTATATTAACCTTGATAACACAGTGGTTACACACAATTGGCTGCTAACCAAAAAGTCTGTGGTTCAAACCCACCAGGCACTTCACAGGAAAAAGATGCGACGACCCACATCCGTAAAAGATTTACAGCCCTGGAGACTCTGTGGGGCAGTTCTACTCAGTTCTATAGGAATGCTTGGAGGTGAAACGGACTAGATGGCAATGAATTTGGTTTTTTGGTGTGTGCTTATTTTATGGTTCACTCTAAGAATGTTCTCTGGCATCTAGTCACTGTTTTGCTGAAGATAATTCAAAACAGTTATGCCCGTACATCAACAGAGAATGCCATAAACCCAAGCCAGATTCCAAAGAGGACATGGACCAAGGAGTATCAATGCTGACACCAGATGGATCCTGGCTGGAAGCTGAGAATATCAGGAAGATGTTTACCTGTGTTTATTGACTATGCAAAGGCTTTCAATTTGTTATTATTCTTGTTGTTAAGTGTGTTGAGTCAGTTCTGACTTTTAGTGACCCTCTATAAGGTTTCCAAGGAGTGATTGTTGGGTTTGAACCACTGACCTTGCTGTTGGCAGTCCAATGCTTGACGTTTATTCTACTGTGACACACCAGGACTGTGCAGATTATGATCATCTGTATAGATAATGACAACCCATGGATTATATAGTGAAAAATGGGTATTCCGGAAGAGTTGTTTGTGCTCCTCCAGAACCTGTCCACAGACCAAGATGCAGTTGTTAGAACAGAACAAGGGGATGGTGAAAGGTTTAAAATCAGGAAAGGCATGGGTCAGGTTTGGATCCTTTCATCATATTTATTTAAAAAAAAAAAAATACAGTAGATATTGCCAAAAGTCAGATTATATTAAGAAGAACGTGGCCTTAGGATTCGGGGAAGACTGATCAACAACCTACGTACGATATGCAGATGCTACATCCTTGCTTGCTGAAAGCAAGGAGGATTTGAAATAGTTACTGATAAAGATCAAAGATGACAGCCTTTAGTATAGATTGCACTTCAATGTAAAGAAAATAAAAATCCTCACAACTGGACCACTAAATAACATCATGATAAGAGGAGAAAAGATTGAAGTTGTCAAAGACTTCATTTTAGTCTGATCAACCACCAATACTCTTGGAAGCAGCTGTCAAGGAAACAAAGAACATATTGCATTAGGCAGATCTGCTGCACAGGACCTCTTTAAAGTGTAAGAGCTAAGATGTCACTTTGAGGACTAAGGTGTGCCTGACCCAAGCCAGGGTATTTTCAATCATCTCACATGCATGTGAAAGTTGGACAATGAATAAGAAGACCAGACCCAGACTGTAGAAGATCTGATGTATCTGAATTATGGTGTTGGAAGAGAGTATTCAAAGTATCATGAACTACCAGAAGAACAAACAAATCTGTCTTGGAAGAAGTACTGCCAGGATGCTCTTTAGAAGCCATGATGGCGAGATTGTATTTCTCATCCTTTGGCCATGTTACCAGGAAGGATCAGTATCTGGAAAAGGACCTCATGTAAAGTGGAAGGTCAGCGAAAAAGTGGAAGACCACCAACAAGGTGAGTTAACACTGTGGCAGTATCAATGGGCTCAAATGTAACAACAAATGTGAGGAGGGCGCAGGACCAAACAATGTTTTATTATGTTGTGCGTAAGGTTCCCGTGAGTCAGAACTGACTAGACACCAGCACCTAACTACATCAACATAACTATTCTTTCAGTGGAGAGGACACAGGTTTTATACAAGAATTCTGGAAGAAGTCTAGTCTGAAGATATAAAACGGGGAGTTCAATGCTGTTCAAATCATTTTTGGTGAAGGGATTTGTTCTTATTTTCAATTTATTGTGGACCAATACAGTTAGGTCAAATCCATAAAAATAAATTACTGGAAGAGGAAAGACAATCAGGAATCAGAAAAGGAAATGAAAAGTGAGGCTAATTGCCTCTATGAACACCTGCCTCTTTTGCCATGTTGCCAGAAATGGAAGGTACCTGGCTGAGTATTTTGATGAAAGATTCTATGGAAGAGTCCTGATGAAAAGGAGTGAAATGTAGTACAGACTTTCAAATGTTCATGGAAGCCAGCCTTTCTGGAGCCATGGAATCTGGATAAACCCCTGAAACCACTGCCCTAAGATAATTGTTGTTGTTGTTGTCAGGTGCCATCAAGTCGGAACCGACTCATAGCGACCCCATGCACAGCAGAATGAAACAATGTCCGATCCTGGGCCAACCTAACTACCGCTGCCACACTTGAGTCCA